TATGAAAAAAGTTAGAGGCAAATGAATGTAAATGATTTTCCATGCCTGCCCATCAATATGCATTTTCCAGTTTAAGGATTCGGAACCTCCAAGGACGCGATGCTGCTGGTTGAGGATAGGAAACCAAATGAAACGCGTAGCACGGAGAAGGAGAAACCAAGATTGCCAAGAAGGAAAATATAATTGTTCCGAAACGTTTTGCTCTTTTGGAAAGTATTTATACAAATCTCACATTGAATAATTTAAATTGATGTAGGGTTAAATACCCCATTTCCGGCCTATTAAGCACAAACCGCACTTAGTGTTCCTTAATCTAGCGCAGCTTAGCACCAAACGGAATATTATTATTACTGATGGCTTCCAAATGTATGTACCTTTCCGTACCTACCGTAAGATTTCATAAAGAGGAACCAATCATTGAGATATTGTCAAAGATCTAATATTGCTTCTTGACGCCAAACTCGGCCTACGGATTCTAAACTCGGCCTAACGCATTGAAACGCCATTGAAACGCCAATGAATTCTCTTCGGCCTATCGGATGAATTGAAAAATTGATTCGGTGGGAGCGCTTCTTTTGTTTTTGGGAGTTATGGGTGCAAACCTTCATATCACGCGTTCTCATTGATTTCGTTCGGTAGCTTATCAACTAAAGTATCGTGCCAAACGCCATAATTAACTTGTTAACTCTGAAATCATGGATTTATTTGAAGTTTTCTGCTCGATAGGCCCAAAATGGGCGATTAGGCCGAAGTAGTTCTCTACCCTAACCGTTTTATAAACAGCATGCATAATAATTATGTTTCAATAATAGACAACCATTTATGACATACGATAAAATCAATGACAATACAGTTGCAGCATTAAATTAAAAAATCCCCGTCATTTCAACCATGTCCAGCCATTTAGTAGAAGAGCGTTGACGTTTACAAATTCGAGCAAGTTTTGTCTACTTCGAGATAAATATGATTGACTTGTAGCTACGACGCTGCAATATGTGACACTCTGAATGCTTAAGGTTCAAAGCATATCGAGCGAAAATTCTTCAAATTTCCGGTTCGCCTGACTTATTAAATAACATAGCAAATACGAAAGCATCGCAATACTCAATCCGTTTCCTAAATCAGTGCCAAATGAGGAAAAAATTCGTTACTTATTCCTCAGAAATAGAAATGAGAAGTGAAATTCTTGAAAATGTTTTTATGTACATCATCCCTTAGCTCAGTCGGTAAAGGCGCAGCTACAAAGCAAGACCATGCTGAAGGTGGCTGGGTTCGATTCCCGGTCCGTCTAGAAATTTTCCGGGTTGGAAAATTTCTCGACTTCCCTGGGCATAGAAGTATGATTGGACTTGCCACACAATTATATCAATGCAAAAATGGTACAGGCATCGAAAGCTCTCAATTAATAACTGTGGAAGTGTATCTAGAACACTAAGTTGAGAGCACGCAATAAGCTAATATGCGATATGCAATAAGCTTGAAACGCGAAGAAGAAGAATAAGATGTACATCATAATAAATACAAAGCTTAGAGTGGGATGCCCCTAGGTATCCTGATACAAATTTCAATTTCAAGTAACATCTGACAATGGGAATTTCATAGATTTTCTGACAGAATTTCAAAAGAAGTTTTATGGAAAATATTCAGGGAATTCTGACGCAAGTTTCTTGTAAATATACATAAGTAATTAAACATAACTTAAGAGTGAAATACCGTATAGCAGGGTTCAAGTGATCAGTAAGGTTTAGTTACAATTACACCCCACTGATCAATTACTGTTTTCAGCAGAGCATTCCAAGGAATTTATCGAGGAAATGTTAAGAGAAAACTAGATAAAATCCCAAAACTTTAAAAATGTTGACAAGAATTCAGGTTGATGATTCAAAGAGATTGATATGTATGGTATGGTATGTATTAACTAATAAAAACCAAAGATTTAAGTAAGCTAAAGGAGAAAAATCTATACAACTCTCTAATAATACCTATGATCTTGACTTTTTTTACCTAGGGGATGAGTACTTAAGGGGGTTAGATTTTGATAAGTTCTTTAGTGGGAATGACACTGATGAAGACTGCACATTGTAGTCGAAACACGTATCTGTCATGGATACCAAAATTAATTAAGTGGAATTAAATGGAAGATAACCTTTTTTGCTGTTTTATTTAATTGCAAGAAATTTAAATCCAGGAGTTAGAATGTGACAGCTCTATAGAAACTCCAAAATCCCATTTCAAGAACGCAAGCATTCCTAAGCTTTTTTCGTATACGATAAACCCCGCTCCAATACATTTCAATGTGAAAATCATTAACAATGTACTGGAACTTTCAATCAAGCTGCATTGCTTGATTGACGCGTATTTAATGAGTTTGAAATCAAGATCAATAATTGAAAAGGCCTCAACTCCAATTTGTAAACAAACCTTACAACCATTTTGTCGAGAACCGAAGTCCGTCTACGCAAATCAAAAAAATGAACAGGTAGGGGAAATTCCCTTCTACCCGTTTGTGTTTTAGGTTTGCGAATGTAGGTTTCGGTTCGCGAGAAAATGGCCTTATAAGGTTTGTTTACGAAATGGAGTTGAGGCCTTTTCAATTGTTGGTCTTGAAATGTTTGTAGTATCACTAGTACTAGTACTAGTACTCGGAAATTAAGTATGAAACTATTATAAAGGACAACATGGAACGAACTCACCAAATCTGGCCAAGTGAACCCAACAAGCTGGCCTGATGTGTTAGAGGGGAAGTTGCAATTGTAGACTGTTCGCTTCACGGGGTAATCCGGTTTGTCGTAGAGCTTGCACGGAATATCCCGAATGTAGTCTTGAAACACCTCTTGGCTATCCGACTTAATCCGCATACTGTGGAACCCGATTCAGGAAATTCAAGTATCCGTTCGTCACCAGCATCATTTTACTGTTATAAAAATCCGGAACAACGCAAAAACCAAAAATTTGACGGGAAGAAAATTATTCACTTCCATCTACAAGCACAGCACTCTTCGTTTATTCATCCAACTGTTCTTGAGAAAAACCCAACTTCGAAAAATTTTGTATCATTTATCGCATCTAAAACCTACACTCACATCGTGTTCCACCAGTTTGCAATTAAAAAAAAAACCTCATCAATCTTCTTTATATCTACTCAGCATGCGCGCATCTCACGACCGTAAAACAAAAGCTTCCCTGCACCATAATCTCCTCCCTCGAGAAATATTGAAAAGTCATGAAAAATGATTGTCTTTTTTTTTTTCCTTTGGTTTGTTTTTTCCGTCGATCTTGTTTTCCGTGCTGAGCACCAATGCTACCGACGTGCCAGGAAGGCAGCTCCCACACCTGGACCCTACCTATCGACCCATCAACTCATGAACCGGGGACCAACGGCTTTACTTCCCATCCGAAGGAAGGCGTAATCAGAGATGTTATGCCTCAGAACATCCCGGCGGCGCCGATTGGGATTGAACCCAGGCCTGCTGGGGTGAGAGGTAATCACGCTTACCACTACACCACCGGCGCCGTTGAAATAATTGTATCCTCTATGTCAAAATCGTGATTCTATCGACTTCCAAGTTCCAAATTTTTCCAAGGGTGTATATTCTTAGAAAGGACAAAAAAATCAATTAAAACGGGAATATGTTCAAACAAAAATACCAAAATTGCTTTTCACGTGGCTTTTAAAAGACGAAATGATCTTAGTTGGTTGGATTTTTATTATTTTTTTAGACCCTGTTATTCAAATGGGAGATTGATACGCGGATACATAACGGTTAAAAGGGCTAATGCCTTTAAAATGCCAAAACATAAAAAATAAAATTGATAAAATGGATTTCGATCCGCCAAAATAATCCGAATGCTGTAAAAACTCTAAAACAAACCTTTAAAATGCCAAAACCGTGAAAACTTTAAATTGGCCAAATTTGTACAAAAAGGCAACAAGCAAACATTTACTTTAACTGACGTCAAAGACGCCAATAATCCTTCGCTCAGCAATAGTTAGATATGCAAAGCACACTCTAGTTTGTTCTCATTTAAATTGTTATACAGTAGGACAGAAAATCGATTGCATTCATAAATCTCGACACCATTTTTGATTCTGCCCCCACCACCAGTCCTAACAATTCCTAATGTTTGTGCCATGAAAAACAACTCTGAATAATTAATTACCCGGAACAAAAATAATTAATTTCATAAATTTCACCACCCTAGCCTATAAACAAAATGCCGACATGTTTGTATATGCTCGACGACGAACGGACTATTTAGCCAAACATTGAACCGCACGCAGTTGCCCAAATCGCAAACCTAATGGACCGCTCCACTCACCAAATTTGCGATCAGTTTATTGGCCTCGTAATTCACCTACTGTGGCACCCTTGCTAAATTATCCTATAAATCTGACAGCTTACGCCAAATATATCCGTGCCCTCCCATTGCAAAATCAGAGTTGATCCGCCACAGCTGTGCGAGAGTTTTGACATTAATTATATGGTAACAGAATTAGAATTTCAACATCCACATCGTCCTGGAAAATGGCATGCTTCGAGGCTCGCCACGATTATTCTGATAGCGGTTCTTCCGTGGAATGGTGACATATGAGACGAGGCCTCCACATAACATAAAGGCAATTGTACATTCAACACTCGCGCAGCCCCAGCATCATTCATGAACTCTTGTATTCATGAATAATTTAAACGAACTCATTAATAATTGCTACACGAGACTGGATTTTAGAAATTAAAATTCATTATATGCTCACTGCCCGGCGGACGTGTCCGTATAAGCTTGATCTGAAACAGGGGGAAGAGGCTGCAGTGCATTTAGCATGCATCATTAGCACTGCTACAAGCTCCATCCTAGCAGGACGGGTGGATAAGTGGATTAGTATATGTATAATTGCTTCGCTTTAAATAGGATTCGGAAATGTGTTTACATTGAATTTAGTAGATTTTGCAGAACTTTCGTTTAAAAATAGCTGAAAATATCAAAAATCAATCAAAACTCACCTTCCGACCGCACCAATCCCACGTAGCAAATGAGCAGCACCAATCCCGTTATTCTCCCCTTCATATCGCTGTCGTCGTTCAACCAGTACGGTTCGCTTTTTTCAGTTAACTCTAATCAGATTAAATCCTTTTGTCACAATCACTTTCACCAGCCAAATTCTATTTTCAAACACACCGCATAAGCCCAGAGTGGCGAAAGCACTCTTTATCGAGATTATTTTTTCACCTCCACTCTTCGTCACTTTACCACACAAAAGCACAAAAACTACACTATCAGCAGTGATCAGCACCACGAAAAATCCTTTTTTGTCTCAAAACTCACTCATTTTTCACAATTATGTAACTCTTTCAGCCGGTCCAGCTCTGATCCTACGCTGTCTGTTCTTCTCGCTCCTGCTTCTTTTGGCCTCTGTCCTCCGGATTCAATTTACAATAATCCAATAAGCAGTCCTGAAATGGAATCCCATTTAGTTCGCTTTCCGTCCGGGAAACCACAATTTGATTCTGCTCCTTTTGGTTTCACACTGCACAACACGGGCGATTCCTTCCTGCGTCTAAAATTTTAAAAATTCAATCGAACGTCCGACCCATGAATGTAGCGCCAAAATCAGGTCTTTAGTCGTCCATTAGGAGCCACTTTCTAACGACACTCACAGTTTCCACACATGATGCTACTGCTGCTGGAAGGAGGATCGCGTGTTCTGCCAACGATTCTTCGCTCGTGATATTTATTCTAGCTCATGACCATTTATCGTAAACTTGGTCAAGGTTGAGGAATGGAAAGCACGTACAACCCGAGGATGTAAGTCGCTGGGCACAAAAAGTTTTCTATAAAAGCGGAATCAATGTACCCATACCGGCGACTAGCAAATGCTGCGCTCTTTACCTTTCATGTTTGGAGCTAGGTACCTACATAGTTAGGGTCGGTCAGTGAAATGAAGCAAAGTTGCACTTGTAATGGATTTATCGGTTTTCGCAGGCTGCTGCTTTTTCATTGCGTGTTCTATAGGAAAGAGACTGCAGTTTGGGTAGGGATGACAAAGTTGTTTATCTTTGTAGGAGTTCTACAGACTCGTTGAAGGATAGTACGAACTGTCCTGACTAAATTTATGAATCTGTAGAGCTTCGTGATGTCCCCATATCATTCAGCGGGTTATGTAGTTGCAATGAAATAGTTTTTCTGGTTTTCCAAATTATTCTGGAGCGATCTTGATATTCTACTTGCTCATCAAAATTTGTACGTCGTCTTGAATCGATAGGTTGTTGAAATTTTATCCTTCAACCAGTAGGTAGCGTGGCAGCAGTAGTTGGATGAGGATTCAGAGAGGTACCGTTGTTTGGCGATGGAGTTTCAGCCGGTATTACTTTTTTCCCAATTCCTAGCTGCCTGATATTTGGTAGTAAGAATACTGACCACAAACCAGTAACAAGGAATCCAGAACAGAATAATACCGGCTGAAACTCCATCCGTAAACAACGGTACCTCTCTGTATATAATAGGTGGGATAAAAGTAACATCCTTGACCGCCAGAATGCGCTGCTACTGCAAAAAGGCTATGGTGCCTTCTTGTCCGTTCATATTTAGGCAGAAATGCCAAATTTCAGTGCAATACTGTCTTTAGTTTTGTTTTGACAGCTGATTGTTGTTGACGTGTTTGACATCATGTTGAGTATGGATAAAAACGATTTTCGTTCTCTCCTAAAACATTATTTTGAGAGGCAAAACGGCGAAGGAAACAAAAGAAAAGTTGGATAAATATTGTGGGGCTAATGCTCTGTCAGATTACACCGTCAAATATTGGTTTCGAGAGTTTCGTGGTGGCCGCAACTCCTCTACCGATCAAGTCCGCAGCGGCAGGCCCTCCGATGCGATTACAGAGGACAATGTCAAAAAATAAATAAAATGGGTTTGGCTGACCGAAAAATGAAGGTGCGCGAACTAGAAGATACCACAAAGATAAGTACTAAGAGCACACGCCATATTTTGGGAGAGATTCTGCATATGAAAAAGTTATCCTGCCACTGGGTGCCGCGCAAGCTCACTCCTGACCAAAAACACGAACGCAAGAGCACTTCGAAAGAGTGTTTGGACATGCTGATCGGGCGAACTTTTGGCGTCGATTGGTAACAACCTGGGTAAACTATTACACCCCACAGAACAGAATGAGTGCCCGGCAATGGACTGAAGCCGGCACGAGCGCCTCGAAGCGACCGAGGGAGGTTCGATGGGTCGGAAAGGTTATGGCGTCTGTTTTCTGGGATTGTCATGGCATACACTCTTCGTGGACTACCTAGAAAAAGAAAAAAAGTAGAAGGGTCTGTGCCTAGGGCACAAACGGAAGCTTGACGTAGGAACGCTAGTGGTCGGAATAAATGTGAAGAGCATTAAGTTCTTTTAATTGACCACTTTGTCAAGCAGTTTTGGCGTGACTTTCTACCAGCGATTTCACAAAACTGGACCAACTAATTTCTATTTTTTTATGAAACGCATAAATTTTGGCTGCTTTTCTCGAGGCTCTAAAAGAAAAAATCTCAAAATAATGTTTCATTTCAAAGTTCGAGTGGTAGTAAACGTCATTTTATCTGCTCGAATGAAGTGGTTAATTGATCAATAATATCTATTATCTCAACTCTTTCCGGTTTTGAATTGTAGGCGATCCAAATTTGTAGTAATCTTTTTCAAAAAGAAAGTTGATTACGAAAATCAACAGGGTGGCCAGTGAATTTTCATTTTGAAAATCCCGGTTTTTTCCCGGTTTTCCCGGTTCAAATCTTAAAAATTCCCGGTTGTTAATATGCAACAAAAAAAAAACAAAATTTACTGATAGGATAAAAAAATGTGATTTAAGAAGATTCCCAAGATTCTGGAGCTTTGAAATTTGTGTAGAGTCTGAAACTAGAACTTTTCTTCAAAATTTGTGATTAATAACATGCTTCGTGATGCAGGATTTGGAGAAACAATAAATAAAAAGTGAAATTTTGATTTTTTTTTCAAGATCACAGATTTATAAAAAAAAAACATCATACTTATGAGTCGTGGAGTCATAATTGTCACGCTCTGAGACTTGGAAGCATTTTAAGGGTAACAACAAATTACATAGCAATATGTAGAATCTGGCGGACAAACCTTGGAATTTTTAGTAAAATTTAAAAGAATTCAAAGTGTTGATTAAAAACAAATATTGAGAAGGATTCCCACACAGTTTTCGAAGGAGAAGAGCAGATTTCCAGAATTATTCTTACATGAAATCCATAGAAATTTTTAGATGAATTTGGAAGGATTTCTTTGGAGAAGAATGCAAGTTCTAAATTAAACTGTTAGGTAATTTTAGTAGATTTAAAAAAGAATTGTGAAAATAAAAATAAAACATTGCAGAAAATTCCTACGTGGTTCTGATGAGATTTGTATGGGCATTGTGAGGAACATGACAGATGAATTTTAAGAAGAATTCCAAGAGAATTATGATCGGAATTCAACAAGAAACAGAGTTCTTAAAATGTTCTGGCAATAATTTCAACCCTAGTGCGAATGATTCATCACATAACCCAAACAAAATTGATTCCAAAAAATTTGCTGATAATTAGAAAGAAATTCTTTAAAATACTCCAAGGGGTTTATAAATTAATTTTCGAAAGATTTCTTTTGTTTTGAATAGAGTTAAAAGAAATGTTTGAAAAGATTTTTAAAGGAATCAAAGTCTCCGGATAGGCGGGAACGGGAATTATATGAAGGATTCCAATAAATTCTTAGAAGGGGTTGGAAGAAAATTCCTAAAAGAATTCAACGGTAATTATTACGCGGAGTGTTTTCTGGTTTATTTCAGAACAATTTCAAGATAATTCAGAGCAGAATTCCAAGTTAATTCTGGAATTCACCATGAGAATTTTGAACAATGAAAAATTAAAACCCCGGAAAAGAATAATTCAGTTTCGGTTTTTACAAATATTTGTTTCCAAACTCCAGCATCTTCAATATTTTCTTTAGAGGACCATGCACTTTACATCTGAAATTGAAACGACAAAAATCAATTTGCAATATTGCTGAGTGATTAAATTCTAAAAACAATAAGACGGTATACTGAAGAAAATTATGCAACAAATAGAACAAGACATTCATTTGCTAAAGGATCACTCTGTTTTAATGGTTTATTCTGAAATTCTGATGTAAAAATTTGTTCCTATGATATGGTTAATTTATTTTCCCGGTTCTCTTGCAGAATTCACGGGTTTTTCCCGGTTACTTTCCAAATTCCCGGATATTTCCCGGTATTCCCGGATTTCCCGGTTTGCTGGCCACCCTGAATCAATCAAAATCACTTGCACCCCTGCTTCCAAGTTTGTGTGGTCGTTGGGGCTTGTGGTTCTGAATATGGACAAACAAGCATAGATAAATTCTATTCCAACTCTTTACTGATGTAAGCTAGATGGCCCTGAAAAGGGCCGTCTTATTGAAGAGGACATCCATGGCCGCTTACGCTTGGCGTGTTTAGTGTAGGTGACAGCATCACGGACCTCATTTTCCACGAACACCTTCAGCACACCTCGTAGATCAGACCGGAGATACGTCAGACACTGCGACGGCGAGCCAGACGACGGATGGTGGTTATCTCGAAGAATTTGCGATGACGATTGGCACCTCCTTTGCCACGACCTACTGCTACTATTGCTCACCACGCCGTCCGAAGCGAAAATGAGCTGATACCAGTTTTAGTTTAAATGATCTTTATTTTAGTTTAACTTGGACGATTACCATATAAATTTTTACTAAGTGATTTAATTGCTTTCTTCATCTTTAGGTATGGGCAAAATTCAAAATTTGTTTTACAGAATTAGTCCTAGACTTAGTACACGGTCGACCACCTTGGTGGGATTGGTTTGTTTTGTTTTTAGAATTTGAAGAGAAACTACTTAATACTACTATTTACAGCTTACAACTAACCTACTCTACTATATACACTTAACCTACTATGTACAAATTGCTTATTAAAGCATGTTCAGAAAGATTGCATTTTTGAATAAATTTAGTTGTCATATCATCAATTTTGGAATCTACTTTGGGAATTTCTGCCTCTTGATGGAGGTCTGCTATTCTTGTGTCGAATGGACGATCTAGGATCATCCTCAACACTCTATTCTGTGCAACCTGGATTTTGTTCCTGTGGGTCTGAGCGCACGATTCCCACACCGGGGCGGCATAGAAGATCGCGGGGGCTATGATCTGTTTGTAAACAGCCAGTTTGTTTTGCCTTGAGAGGCGGGATCTGCGGCAAATGAGCGGATACAAACACCTAACCAAGGCGGAGCACTTAACTAGGGTTTTCTCTATGTGCGAGCGGAACAGGAGCTTCTCATCGAACAACATCCCGAGATAAGTAACATCAGTGGACCACTCGACCCTTGTACCATCCATTATTACGGTACAGGAGGGAGACGGTTTAAGTTTTAATGATTGTCTGTGAAGGAACATGATCGCTTGGGTTTTCAAGGCGTTGATTTTGATTTTCCACGTGGTGGCATAATCAGTAAAGGTGTCAAGGCATCGTTGGAGCTTGTT